ATGCATTGGGCCGAAAGCCCGATTTCAGGAATACAGTTCCAACGGCGAGAGCAGCATCAAGTCCACAGTACACAGCGCACCGTGTAGTCAAAGTTGTGTTCAGTCATCCAATAAAGCCAGTGGACATATATTAATTCTCTACATTCACAAATCCAAAATCTTATTATACATCTATCTGGTTCATTAATGTATTACGAAATCTCTCATACAGCTGTATAGCAAATGCACTACTGATTTGAACCCAGTCTTCAGTAATTAAAAAAAAAACGGATTCAACCCAATTCACACATATCCAGCTATGGTATTCTCATCTTTATCTACCAGGTCCATTTGTCTACCATCACGTCCCCTTCCCCCTCACCCGGAGCTATCCTTGAGCCCCCTCTTCTACCATCGCTGGCCCTTCTCAGTCCCAAGTAACCGAACCACTCCCGTTCCTTCCTGCCCCTTCTGCTTCCATCCACACTTCTCTCACCCGCTTGCTCCAACAACCTTCAATATTCCCGAGAAGAATCGTCATCTCGCCCATCCTCTAAGCTGCCCTTTCTGCTAAACCCTCCCTGCTACTTCTTTCCCATCCCATTAGTTTGAAAGCCCCTTCTCTCTTATCCGCTCTCCCCACGTCGTAACCATGCCCTTGCCATTTCAGCCCCAGTTTCTGAAACCACTTCTCCTTCCGTCTTCCCCTTTTCCTCCCACTCCCCATTGAAAAAAAGGGAAGACCGGCACGTGCATTTCCTGTTTCCAAGCCTCATCCATCTGGTACACTATGCACTGCCTTATTAACAGGCTTGGTTACACAACGCAGTGTCTGTGCGTCCGTTTCAAATCAAAGAGGCCTGGTGGTGGTGGTGGTGTTGCTGCACCCCTCGCATCCTCACTGCCCTCCTCTCCCTCCACGCTGCATACAGCTGCTCCCTCCTCTCCCTGTACTTGGCTCGCACACTTTCAATCTCCCTCTCCATATCCGCAAGCAATGCCGCATCACAACGCTTCAACTCCTCCCTCTCAGCCTCTTCCGATTCCCTCCCTTCATCCTCCTGTTTCCCCTCCTCCTCCTCCCCCATTCCCTCCCCTTTCAACCACCCCTCCTTCCCCTCGTCCCCCATTCTCGTCTCTCTCGCCCCTTCCTTCCACATCTCCCGCTCCTCCATCCCCTTCCCCTTCTCTTCCTTCTCCATTCCATTCACCCTCTCCCTGCTCTGCAACCCCACATCACTCGCCCCCGCCCCCCACCTGTCACATGCATCATTTCCCTGCATACCCAGAAAACCATTCCGCTCCACACACTCCACCTCAAACCCAACCACAGACGCACCAGCATCAACGCCAGTATGAGTATCCACCGTGATAGTTTCACACTCATTCAGCACCGCCACACTCTTCTGTGGATCTGAATCTCCCACCACAGCCGCACTTGGGACCCTCTCTCCTGTCCCATTCCTCTCCCCTGTTTGACCCTTCTCGCCCGAGTGGCTCGTCCCTCCCGTCTGACTCCTCTCTCTCGTGTGCCTCCTCTCGCCCGTCTGAAGCCGCTCACTCCACTGCAGCAGCCGCTCTTGCAGCACCTGATGCTCCTCCTCCACCCGCTTGTTGTTGCTGCTGCTGCTGCTGCTGCTCCTGTAACTTCTGCTGCTGTCGCTGCTGCGACTGCTGTCGATGCTGCTGTTGCCGGTGCCATGGATGCTATTGCGCCTCTTGCTCTCTCCCAAGCGTGCCGGCGCCAGAAATTGATAGCCAAATGGGCTCAAGCCATACCTGCCAGTACCAGGAGACGTGGCGCCAGCATCCGCAGCAGCAACAGCAGCAGCGGCCGCAGCAGCAGGAGAAGCTGCAGCATCGACTGAACCAACAGCGCTAGAAGCAGCAGCAGCAGCAGCAGCAGCAGGAGGAGCAGCAGCAGAAGTAGCATCACCAGGCACTGTCAAACTACCAGCGCCAGCAGCCACAGCAGCAGCGCCAGTGCCAGCAGCAGCGTCAGTGCCAGCAGCAGCACCAGCGCCAGTAGCAGCAGCAGCAGCAGCCCCTCCCTTCCACAGCTTCCTCGCACTCCCCACCCCGAGAGACAGGCTCCTCAGAAGAGCCTCGGTGAACGCCCTTCGCCGCCGCTCCTGCTTCCCCAGCAGAGTCAACGGAGTCAACGGGGTCAACGGGGTCAACAGACTCTCTTCCAGCTGCCTCTCTATTGGGATGTCCCCTGCAGAATGGATGCCATCGGCTTGCACAGCACAAGCAGGTGGTCGCGGTGGTGGTGGTGCTAGCGCTACCCCCCCTGAAACATGTGCTTCTAAAGCGTGTGCTTTCAAAGAGAGGGCTGTTGATGCGTGTGGTTCGGATGTGTATGCTTCTGAGGATTCTGTTGCGCACACAGGCACGGCCAGTACACGAGAGGCCAATTCTAGAGAGAACCGACCTCTACAATCTACCTCTGAAGGGACAGATGCAGCTGTAGCGGAGGCAGCAGCTGCAGCAGAAGAGCCAACTGTAGCACCCCCCATTCCCCCAAGCTCCTCCATTTCCTCCATCCCTGCAGCAGCATCCTCCAAACTGAGAGCCCCCAGCGACTCTCCTGAGGAGAGTGCGAGTCCTACCAGTGGTGCCGGCACTGCACTGATCACTGCACCCCCGGGTGATGGTGCTGCCACCAGCACCCCTGCCGACTCCACTGCCACACCGCATGACTCCTCGCCTGTTGCTGCTACCGCGGCTGCTGCTGATGACGATTCTGCTGCTGCTGCGGCTGATGATAATGACAATTCCACTTTCCTCTCGCCGCCTTGTGCTGCTTGAGCAGCTGTTACTGAATCAAGGGCAGGCATCCCCTCGTTGCTGCTGCTGCTGTTACTCTTATTGCTATTGTTATTGTCGCTGCTGCTGCCCTTGGTGTTGCTGTTGCTAGAGTCTCCGCCCTCCGAGGGTGTTGGGAAGGAAACGAATCTTCCATGCACCTGCAGTAGCTCAGGATCGGTGGCTGCAGGCTCTTGCACCTGGGCTGCCTCGAGAAAATCCTGACTCACTATAGGCAGACTCAGTATTGTCTGCTGGAGGTCTGCTGGCGCTGCAGGCGTGGGCACAAGGGCTGAAAGTTCTGCACGAGAATTTGTAACGGAGATTGCAGCATGGGCAGCAACAGCGGATTGAGCAGCAGCAGCAGTATTAGTATCAGCAGCAGCAGTGGCAGGGGCTTTGGCAGTGGCCACAGTGGTCGCGGAGGGAGAGGAGTAGGACACAGCATTATCATCATCACCACCAGCAGCAGGAGCAGCAGCATCAAAAGCAGCCGCCGAATCAGCAACAGCGCCGGCGGAGTCAACAGGAACCAAGAGTGGGACCTGTATCAAGTCAGGCGAGCTGTTCAATGCACGCTCCACTGCGTGCCCCCCCACCCTCCACTGCCCTTCATCCACGAGTGCACTCCCTTCCTCCCTCCTACCGAGCTCTAACCCCTCTGTTGATACCGCACCCGCTGCCGATACCGCACCCGCTGCCGATACCGCACCCGCTGCTGATACCGCACCCGCTGCTGATACCGCACCCGCTGCTGATACCGCACCCGCTGCTGACACCGCACCCGCTGCTGAAACCGCACCCGCTGCTGATACCGCACCCGCTGCTGATACCGCACCCGCTGCTGATACCGCACCCGCTGCTGATACCGCACCCGCTGCTGATACCGCACCCGCTGCTGACACCGCACCCGCTGCTGAAACCGCACCCGCTGCTGATACCGCACCCGCTGCTGATACCGCACCCGCTGCTGATACCGCACCCGCTGCCCCCGCAGCAGCTGTGCTGGTACGATCAGGAAAAACAGCACATGTATGCATCCCCTGAACTCCTTGGGTCGACTCATGCGTTTCTGCATGACCAGGTGATTCCGATTGTACTGGAGACATCAGTGGTTCAAACACACATGACTCAACTGTACCTCCACTGCTCCCCTCTCTTCCCACACTACCAGACTGGCCCCTGCCCCCCTGCTCCACTGCCCTGTCTCCTTCAGAATCGAGAGAAATAATCCTTTCCGGATTATACGCACTCGTTTTGTAATCACCCTCTCTACAAGCATGCTCTCCCCACCCATATGAGCCTTCGGTACAGTCACCTTCCACCACAACCACACTATTTGACTGGCCTGAGTCTTCACCATCCCCAGCCTCTGTCTTGGCACTCCCCTCCCTCTCTTCTACCCACTTTCCGGCAATGTTTTTGGTCTCGTTTTCCTTGCAAACAAGGCAAGTATTTGCCACGCCCATACCACCCATCAACTCACCCCCCTTGTCCTGCTGCTGATCTGCCAGCAAAGCAGTTTTTACTCTGTCACCCCTCTCCACCTCCTCCTTGAAATCACTCCTTTCCTTCCCTCTCTCCTCCGCACCTGCCCAACCACCCTCAGGGTCTCCATTCACGTGCCTTCCCATTCGCTCTCCCTCGCGCACGCCCCCAGATCCCTCGAAAGCCCCACTGTCTCTGTCTATCCCGGGAGACATAACACAGGCAATCACCGCTGTATTGCTGCTGCCGCTACAGACGCAGGTGTCGTTTGGATGACACATGGGCGAGTGGGGAGAGGCGAGGGCAGAGGCAAAGGTGCTAGTGGCGTTAGAAGAGTCTGTGGAGAGAGGCGGAGGGAGGATGAGAGGAGGGGGAAAGGAGGTGGGCGCGAGTGTGAAGGGAGAGTCTGGAGGGAGCGAGGAGTCCCCATTCCCTGCTGCTACTGCTGCTGCAGAAGCCGATGTGGGAGAGACAAGAGAGAGAACAAGAGCTCTTGCTCCTGCCCCTGCTCCTGACCCTGCTCCTGCCCCTGCTCCTGCCCCTGCTCCTGCCCCTGCTCCTGCCCCTGCTCCATATGTTGCGGCTACTGTTGTGGCTGCAGCAGTGATTGAGGCAGCAGCAGCAGGGGTGGTGGTGGCAGAAGCATCAACAGGAAGGCAGGCGGTAGCAGTGGTAGCAGTCGTTTCCGCCTGTGAGAGGCTAGCAGTACTTGAAGGAGAAGACGC